AAAAAAAAAAAAAAAAAAAAAACACTCATTTCGGAGGAAGGAAACAAATGGTTCGAGTGTACTTTGGATGTTACTTTCGATTGGAAGGGACCAAAAAAAGAGATCTAGTTGATGAGGTTCATTGGGTTGATTAGATTAGTTTCACTTCAATTCATTTCAGGAAAACGAAATAAACAGTTCATATGTGCTTTACTTTAGATTTATTTTACTTTCAATTTGAACGTTCAAGAAAAAAGGAGAAATCTCGTTGATCGGATCGAAGTTTTGAAGATCAGATTTCATCCAAAGGCTAGATCGGTCTGCTTTTCTTAATTATTTCTTCATCAACAAGTATCGTCAACGAGATTATTCTCGTCCACTGTTACGTCAAGACGCTGTTTTTTTTTTTCACAATTCACCCATAATTATACATGATCTCTGATAAACTAACTTTTTTCAAACATTCGCGTGTATAAATTGCAACATTCACACATTTATGTACAAATATAATACAAATGACATTTCATACGTGTATTATTTTTAGGTTAGCTTTAGGTTTAGGTTAGGTTTAGATTATCGTCGATAATTTACTTGAAATTAAGATTCTTTGCGACTATGGATTACAAATAAACGACATATCGATATTAATAGTATTGTAATATTAAATAACAATCAACGCTATTTGTCAAAATTGTATCTGTCACGTATACAGGCAAGTTACTTTGTGAAATCGTTCTCCCGTACGAAGATTGAAACGACTTTTCTTTGGAAATCAAGAGTTACTTTCTTCGCAAATATTTTTTGATTTTCTCTGAAATCGAATTTGTATTTCCATCTATTTCGAGGCTGACGCTATCGATCGCTATTGAGAAATAGATTCGAAGCGAAATTACATCGTCGTTTGCGCGAAATGAATCGTTTCCCGTGGGTTCGTGGGATTTTATCGACTGGAAGAACTCCGAGAATATACAGTCGTAGCTTAAGCGGTGCGCACGATCGAAACTAGGGACTTGGAAACGTAACGATTTCGAAAATTTGACGAATCGTTTCGAATCTTTTGGTTAACCAGTTCCAGTCGCTGAACCTTTTTTTTCGTCAGTGCGGAGAGCTTCGATGTGTAGCGACATCTATTGCTATTCAATTGTCTTGTCAAAAAAGTTAGCACGGAGACGAACCAAACAAATTGTCAAGAATATA